TGGGGAATTCTGGGAGTTGAAGTCCACGCATCTTAAAGTTGTCAAGGTTGAGAAACACTGCCCTAAATCAGCTGCTGGAGGTGGCTGCTGAAATGAGAGCGCTTAGATCCCAGTTCTGGATTTCTAACAAAAATGTTTATATTGCATCACTTTTCTTTTGTGAAACAAACATGCAACATCCAAGAAAACAGTGCTTATAAAATACAAAGTGCCTATAATGTGAAGCTTTACCTGATTGCTGGTTAAGCTTCAATGTAACTGCTGAAAGGGAATTATTTTTATAACAGGCAGAGGTTAAACCTCCATAGCAAAATTATTTTGAGTCATCTTGAGGTGGTAAAAAAGTGAAGGATGAGTAGCCAAATCCTTAATGCAATAACAGCCAGTGACATTTTATCAGTAGTGCCCCAAACACATGCTAAACATACAGTATTTTAAGTCTGAAATGTTTTCTATTGAACAAAGTCTATAATTGCAGCTAATAAAGAAAGAGATCGCTAATATATTTAAATACATACTTAAAGCATCTTAAATATAATACTACAAGTGGTGTGCAGCAGACTTATTTATAGAGAAACGACCAGGCTTTATCATGCATTGGCCTATATCATTCATGGAATTTTAGATACTGTTTTTCACGTTGAGTACACACATTTTTCCATACTATCTTCTTCTGTCTTTTTACATAGCAAAGAAAATCTGTTACAGTTTGTAAAGAGTTGTGCAATGAGAACCTGAAATGATCAGATGGATCAATACTTTTAATTCAAGGCAATGAAACTAGTCAGCTAAATATACTGCCAAGAATTATCAGTATTAGATATATGATTCTTAAACAGATCTAACACCGGTTGTTTCACAATGAAACATACTCACCGGAAGCATATTTAGAACTGAGTGAGAGATATGTATGTATGTATGTATGAATTAGATCCACATCCAGAGATAAAACTATACAAAAGAGTGGAAACTTTTTTATAATTGGCCTATTTTTCCAGGAATATAACTGGATACATTAAGTACTAGTCTGACTTCTGCCTTTTGCGTTAGCTAGAGAATGTATACACAAAGCGGTTGTTTGTACAAAATTATACTTACAGCCAAAGGCCAAAACATGAATTTTAGCTCATTATGCAACTTCAGCAGATAAAGTAAATAGAATAAAAAGGTAATGACAAGTTCCATGATCACAAGGGCTAGGAAGGCTTCGTGAGATCTTTTAATAGCAAAAGTGATGGTTGCCATAAAAGCTAGAAGCTGCAAGGAAGAAAAAAGTAATTTACAAGACATCCTGCAAAGACATCAGACTGCCAAACTTTCTATTTGATTTATTAAAATAATAAAACACAAAGCTAAGAAACTCCACCAAAAGAAATGCGTATCTTCAAAATATGGGATTTGTTTCTTTAGAATTCAAGCCAAAACAGACCAGGGGATGTCAAAGACAAAAAGCATCTTGCACATGAGTCTCCATGTGAAACACACCTAAATGGCAGGAGGAACAATAGCCCAAGAGCTTGGAGCTTAGCACTTTCATTTTATTGATCAAAACAAACAGCCAAAACAAGGCACAAAAGGGTAAATAATAAAGGGAAGTTAACTTTGCTGAGGGGTATTATGTAATAGTGGCTGGGTTTGCATTTCATTCCTTATTTGGTTATTGAATTAATTTACTTTCTAGTTAGCATGATCACAGAATCATAAAGAATAACCTGGATTTGCACAAAATACACTAATACACACACACAAACCAGCCAAGGTTAAAATGTTGTGAAAATGGAGCTGTTAAGTCTTTAGCTGAACACAACGGGTGTGTGTGGGGGTGGGGGTGTGTACATTTATACAGAGAGAGAGAAACAGACTTTAAAGAACAAAAAAAAGAACAAAATTACAGCATGAAAAAGGAATGAAAGGCCTCCTTGCTAGCATTTTCCAGTTGGTTTGAAATTGTTAAAGGGCTTCCAGAATGCAAGATGTGTACTGGGAAGAGAACCACCATTTCACTCAAAGCAGAAACCATCTGCTGTGTTGCAATAGTCTTTTTCTCCTTCCTGTGGCTAAGGAGGACAGCCGATGTAGTCCAATGGGCCTGGAAGGTGCCTGGTTGGGAAAGGTAGATTTAAACTGCATCCCCAAAGCCCCGTCTTCCCCCTGGCCAACCACTGCATGGATCAGGGAAACAGTGACTATTCATCCAAGGTGCCTACTCAGTCACAAACCTAGCAACTGGCTTCTTGAACCTTGATTAGTTTCTTTCTGGGGTAGGGCCGATGTGTGAACCCAGAGGTTATGAAGGATTATGAATGGGTCACTGCCCAGAAAGTCAGATACTGCATTTTTTAAATGTCTTATAACAATGAGAAAGTGAAGCAATACATTTCTGTAAAGTCTAGATGTAAGACTATGTTAACGGAATGAGTTCATTCTATATTTATTTTATTTAATTAGCTAATTTATATAGCCACTCATCTTATTAAATGTCACTCTGGGCAGCATACAATCAAACATATTAATATTGTATGAATCCTTTTTTCCTTTTTTTTCCCTTCAGTTTTAGCTCATTATTAGATAATCATTACATATCAATTTCTCTTTCAACTGCTTAATCACTCTTGATTTTTTCTGTTTATTTTTTAAATTTTATTTGATAACAAGTTTTAAAAGATACACAAAAACAAAAGCCAAAAGGACAACAGGACAAAGAAAAGGAAAACAAAAAAATAATTGCTTTTTAAAAAAACGATAGATTACACATTTCCTGAACCCACGGCTTAACACTGGGAATGCCATTTGTTTGTTATATTTCACACACCTGCACATTATATATTTCATATATTATAATATATATTTCTCACATATACAATATATATGTGTGTAGGAAAGCAGCTCAATTCAGCTACCGTGTTCCAGATATATGAATACAAACACTGCCCTGGTTATGACTATAAAAGTTATTTGGGAGGGACTTAATTTCTAGGACATTTAGAAGGAGGAGGAGGAGGAAGAAGAGAAGAAGGGGAAAGAAGAGAAGGAGATGGAGAAGAAGGGGAAAGAAGAAAGGGAGGAGAAAGGAGATGGAGAAGAAGGAGAGAGGAGAGGAGAAGGAGATTGAGAAGGAGTAAGAGGAGATGGAGGAGAAAGAGAAAGGAGGAGACGGAGAAAGAAGGGAAGGAGATGGGGAAGGAGTAAGGAGAAAAGGAGGAGATGGAGAAAGGAAACGGAGAAGAAAGAAAAAGAGGAGGAGGAAAAGGGAAGAGGAGAAAAAGGAGATGGAGGAGGAGAAAGAAGAAAGAAGGAGAAAGGAATTGGAAAAGGAGATGGACAAAAAAAGGAGAAAGAAGAAAAAGCAGAAGAAAGAGGGGAAAGGAGAGCAAGAAGGAGACAGAGGAGAAGGAGAGAGAAGAAAGAATGGGAGAAAGAAGGGAGAGAGGAGGAGGAGGAGGAGCAGCAGCAGCAGCAGCAGCAGCAGAGGGCTAACAAAAGGAGAAGAAGGAAGAGAAAGAAGCGGGGAGCCTCAGCCTCAGCCTC